TGGTATCTCCAATTAGCAACGCGATACGAAACGGACGGTCGATGTATATACACGTATAAAACTAGCGCACGAGCCTCGATTGAATGGAAACGTTGTGTTTGTTACACGGCTAGCGCAATGATGCAATTGGGGACGAATTGCTTGCTCGGACGATTGTTCGAGCTAGATCATTGCTCTAATTAAACTTGGCAACGGTACGGCTATAATCCATAGACTCCGGCCGCCTCTCGTCGACGCCATACATTCTACGATAATGCATTATTGTTAACGCGAAACGCGCAATTCTTGCAATTCAAAACGTCCGATCGATTCCAATGGGAATTATTTACAGCCATGTCCGCCTAATTAATAACTACGACTACCACTCGTTTTCCCTGCAGTCTGGATCCGCGCTACGGCGAAGCCTTTACCATCCTCGTTATACGGATAAATGATTCAACCACTTGCATGCCGAATAATCGATCATTCGTTTGACGATTAATATCAACGGCGCGGAATGTGCCTCATCCTCATGTTAATTAATTTATTTCCTTACCGCAATTAAAGTTGATATTAATCACGCGAGGGCATACGAGATTCCTTATCGGTCGATTTACTGAGATATATCAGTTATCCTAGATATTATTATTGGCGGCGAATGTTAGAGCGTTAATTTCATTTCCTCCGTTTTAATTTATCCTCTCGGAAGGCAACGCGCGTTACTCGAGTTCGTTATTCGAATTACAGGCATACAGAGTCGAAAGACGAGGCTTTCTCTTTGCAAAAGTTCGAACGTATCGTCTCGTCTTTTTTTCTCTTGCGGATTTATAAATTCCAATCTGAATATCTAAGTACGTGTGTAGGTACGTGCCCGAAACTAAAATTATTTGACAGTAATAAGATATCGATTTGACAGACAATAATGGAGCTTATTATCGAAAGTAATACGTTGCGAGCAGACCGTTATCCGACAATCCCTTGTGATCCGATTATTCCGCCAATTAATAGAACTGGTCATCCGCGCTCTCGGAGTGCCGATTAAATTGGTTTTGTTAATCGATCGGTCGTGTCGAATTAATTGCTAATGAAGTACCGTCATCCGGCACCGACGCGACCAACGTTGGAAAATAAAATGATGTCGCGATTGTATGGCGTTGCTACGCCATATTATCGGAGATAGTGATCGTAAAGATTTCACCTTTCTTTGCTGAAAAATTCTGCGTTATTTAAATTAAAACTTTTGTAACCGCGCGCTCGTCCCTAATTATTCTTCGCGCGAAGAAATCACGATTGAAAAACATCGATTGAAAATATCGAAAAATTGATATCTCCGCTAAAATTTTTACAACTACGGACACACTGGCTTTAGATTGACAAAAAAAATTCCGTGACTCGGGAAAGCCGTGCGGATGCACGTGTTTGCATTCGCGCTTTCATAGCGAAATACGTATGTAAAGGATACGCGAATACGGTATTTCCATTATACAAACGCGAAAGGTATGTAAATATGTGTATAATGTATTATTAGTACAGTCGAGTGACTGCTACTCGACTCGCGCAAGAGGATTACACGCTCCCTCAGATGTTACGTACAAACCGTGTGCACTCTCGCATTCGATTCCACCTCTTTCCCCCCTTCCCCCTTCCTCCCCCTCCCTTCCCCCCCCCGTATCGATAGATAATTATACGCGTGTGTACAAATAATCGATTACAATAAGGAACAGAGCGGCTGCTGCTGCTGCTGCTGCTGCATCGGCCTCCGTGTGGTGCATTAGCGAGCGCGGATACTTCCGTAAGCGGATTACGCGTCGGCCGAAATATTGTATTTAAGTATGACGTGGGCGAAGATCAATACCCTCGTCCCCCAAAAGCGCCTTTAATACCCCGGGATCCCCAATAATAACCGGCAGACGCGGCCTCTGCCTACGGATCTCCCCTGCGAATCTCTCTCGCGGGCCGAACGAGAGATAATAAGGTTCAACGTCGTACGTAACGGCGACGGAGGGGAATCTCTATTTCGGGGACGTCGGTCTATACACGGTTTGTTGTGCCCGGCCATTTAACAACCCGTTCCCCTCCTCCCC